TATATATATATATATATATGCCCTAATTTGTAAAACACAGACTGAGTTGAATTCATAGTAATGAGATTTTCATTTGTCTTCTAAATTCAACCATCCAAATATATCAGAAGAGAAATTAATAGATAATGATTTAAAGATTGCTGATAGTGTGTAACTTGAAATAAATTTGAATGTGTATTTTTCTGACTCAATTTTTTTGGATGTATAACAGGAATTACGGACATTGAGATTCACTTTCTCCAAATTAAGTTCACAGCTATTGGAGTTTACTTGGACTCTGAAATTGTGGGACATTTGCAGCAGTGGAAGGGCAAAACAGGAAAGGACCTAACTGAAGATGATGACTTCTTTGAGGCCCTCATTTCTGGTATGATTTTCAGTTCTGCTATTTAAAAAGTAACATTATATTCATAAATCTTAGTTATTGTTAAGAATTTCTATTATACTTTATAAGATTCTTATGAGAATATGATTAGTCTTAAGCTTCCAGATTCATTAAATTGGTCAGAAAATTTGATGTCATGATGGTAAATTCAACATTGCTAACACTTTCTTGCTAAAAACATGGATATGCGAAAATATATGGTTTTATATAATTATGATATGTCATTATGTCATATATGAATATATCATTCACAAATAAAATAATAATAATAAAGTGCAATCTAAAATTATTTTCTATAAGTCTGTATTAATTTTCTTTTATCTTTGTATCCTAAAATAACTATTTCAAACTTTATAATATTAGGTGTTTGAGGACAAGCTAAAAAGGTCAACTTTTGGCTTTAAAAAAATCAAAAAGTCACTAAATTGTTTGTCATCAACTTAAAAATGCAGATATTACATGACTTTTTCACACAAAAAAAACTTGTTTAGCAACTTCCCAAACTCCTTAGCTGTTTTAGCTCCTAAGAAAGTTAAAAGGCCATTAGTTTCATTTGTGTCAATCGATGAATTTGTATGTTTCCCCAAGTGTTTGAAGAGTGTTTTGTAAATAATTTTTAACAATAATTGGACGCATTTAGACAAGTGCCCGACCAATACATGTCTGGAAGTATCTGATGAGAGTCTGGCTTTCCGGTCTCCGTCAAGGAATGGTCAATTCCTGACTTGTGTGTAGTAGTTAAAGGTTGGGTGTGTGTGAGAGAGAAATGGGTCTAGTTCATATATTTTGAAACGGAATCTGCTTGACTTGTAAAACCTATTATGTTATCCACCGATTGAAAATTCTTGTTTCCTGGCTTTCCTTTTGGTTTCCCCTGTCCAAATTGGATAGATTAGAATTGTAGGACAAATAACTTGAAGAAGTTCTACTTTGATACTATACATTCTTTAAGTTACATGGGTTTCCAAATGTCTTACTACAAGTGATGCTCTGTAAAATCATTAATTACATGGGTTTGGTATTTAATATGTCTTACTTGACTTGCTCTATTTTATCCATCTCAGGGTCTTGATTTTGTCATTGATGCGGGTGTTAGAGTGGCTGATCCGTCCACTGTAGTTGATATGATTGGGAGTTTCCCAAGAATCATTCGTCAAGGAAAGGTAATTGAGTCTGTACTATTCATATTTTGTCTCACATTGCATTGTTTAATTGCATATAACGTGTAACTATTTTTCTCTATATGTGAGCTGGTTTTCGTAGCATGAATTTGTTCTCACTCTCTCTCTCTCTCTGCCTTGAAGCAATTGTGTTTTTAGCCGTTGAGGCAATACTTGTTGTGATGTAATGGCACTTACATCTCTATTGAATTTGATGATTGGTTAATGGAGTTCAGGGGCCTAAACAACCCTGGATGGTGGCAGAAGATGATAAAGATTCTGTTGTAGAAGAAGAAGAGCTCACCCTTGTGCTGCTTAAAATCCAATAATTCATCTTTGCTTACCTTGGTACAGAGCTTAAGAAATGATCATTGAATTTGAAAAGAGGTTACAAATGGGAATTTCATGAGATACTTAGGAAAAGATGGCCATAACTGGAGGAAGAAGAAATATGGAAAGATAGGGAAGGAAGCTCATGAGAGGCTCAAGGTTTGTGCGAAAGAATGATGCTTGTTGAAGGCAATTTTTATTTTTTAAGTTGATTTTGTCTACACCAAACAGAAGTTTGTGACTTTCAGGAATTTTGCACTCTATGATATAATGAATAGTTTATGTTGTATATTTTTATTACATTCCAAAGTAATTTGCTTGTATAATGTCCTTTCAGGCTGGGAGTGTTGATGTGCTGCATTGCTACATGGAGAAGAAAATGAAAATTTCCAGAGGCGAAGCTATTGGTTGCTTGAAGAGTGAGTGTCTAAAAGTTTGCCTTGCTTTTATCGAAGTTTGTGTTTATTTTGTCAAATCTTTTCACTTTGCTTTCTCTCTCTCTCCCCCCCTCTCTCTCTCTCTATATATACACACATATATATAAATCTGTCTGTATTATGGAACACCTCTGGACAATTGCTTTTAATATGAAGTTTATCTATTAATTAGTATTAGCATATAAAGGTTGATTGAATGTAAATGCCTACTTGCAGCGTCTTGTACATGTACATGCATAAGTACAGTCCTCTTATACTATTTACCATTGAATAAACATCAATTACTGAGTAGAATCTGGTTCGTTAGTTATATCTACTTCTGGAACAATTTTGCTACTTTGGAAGTCCCATTACCTTTGTCTGTTTAGGAAAAAGATGAAATATGGTTTAAAGTTTCACCTGTTTTCTTTTTCATACTAATCATTTTAATGTTTGGAATTACAGCCATGTCTATAGCTGTAAACTCATGTTAACTTGTATGAACTTCCATGAAATTGACTACACACCTTGAAAATTGAATCAATTTACGGAAGTTAATGAAAATCTGACCAATTTTGTTTCTTTAGTTGTTATTTTGGAAGGGCTTTTGCTGCACATTCTCATTTGCTTCTTATTTGGATGACACCTGCTGCAGGGAGCGCTCGAACATTATTCTTGTCCACTACCACGAAGTAAAGGTTACAAATTTATTCTATTATTTCTTTGTTTCTTCATTAAAGAAATTCACAATTGATAAAATTTGTATACCATGTCAGATGATTCTTGAGCCAATATATATTATACATTGAACAACAAAAGAACTTGTTTTTATAGCAACTCAAACAACAAAAGAACTTGTTTTAATGGTCTTATTATTATTATTATTATTATTCTTTCATCTATATGATAGTATTATTATTATTATTATTTCATGTATAGGGTAATTTGTTATTAGTTGCTTTCTTACTAGAGAATAACAATGCAATTGTAGGATTATGCCATGGAGTTAGATGAGACACGCATACGTAATGCAGCACACTTGATGGTTGCCAGTTTGGCTGGAAGTTTAACTCATGTAACTAGCAAGGTTTCATCTCAAACTAGAGATCTCTTTTGCTGTTCTATTGTCCTGTTTTGTTATCTGAAAATATAGCATTCCTATCTGATTAGAATCTTATGTTTGTCTGCCTTTGTTACCTGGTGTTTGACAATGATTGTGTGATTACTGATAGGAACCCTTATGTGGCTCAATATCAAGTCAGCTTATGAATTCGCTTCAGGGTTTAAATATTGCAAGTGAACTTGAACAAGCTGTGCAACTTGTTACTAATGATAACCTTGATCTGGGTTGTGCATTGATTGAACAAGCTGCAACAGAAAATGTTAGATTGCTTTCTATTTTCTTCCACAAGAATGCATTTATGCATATATTTATTTATCTATCCGTTAATGCATATGTTCACTTCAGTGATTTTGATTCACATTATGCTAAATTGATAATGCATGCAATAACAGGTAACCGTTTTCACTTCTAATATTTGGAAAAGCTGTTTTAGAAGTATAGAAAACTGAAGAATACTTTGTTGTTGGATAAGGTTCTGAAATGGCCCATCATGTTTCTTCCTCAAATGAAGCTTGCTACACAGGCGAAAATATGGCTTAAGAAGTGTGGATTGAGAGGGAGAGTTGATCAATCATCCCTAGAAACTTAGAATTCGAGATGTTAACGCCCAAAAATCACCAAATGGTGTCGGAGTTGCATGAAACTTGGCACACACGACCGTCTAGGCATGAGAAACTTGTGGGAGAAGACGAGACTCGAATCGGGTCACCAGTTTGGGAGTTAGAGTCAAATTTCACACTAGGCAAACTAGTTCCTTAAAAAGCTTAGAATTTGAGATGTTGACACCCCAAAATCACCAAATGACGTCGGAGTAGCATAAAACTTGGTACACACGACCGCCTAGGCACGAGAGACTTGTGGGAGAAGTTGGGACTCGAATCGGGTTCCTAGTTTGGGAGTTAGAGTCGGATTTCACGCTAGGCAAACTAGTTCCTTAAGAAACTTAGAATTTGAGGTGTTGACGTCCCAAAATCGCCAAACGGCGCCAGATTAGCATGAAACCTAGCACACACGACCGCCTAGGCACGAGAGACTTGTGGAAGAAGACGTGACTCAAATCGGGTTCCCGGTTTGGGAGTTAGAGCCGGATTTCACTCTAGGGAAATTAATTCTTTATGAAACTTAGAATTCGAGGTGTTGACGTCCCAAAATCACCAAACGATGTCAGATTAGCACGAAACTTGGCACACACGACTGCCTAGGCACGAGAGACTTGTGGGAGAAGACGGGACTGGAATCGGGTTTCCGGTTTGGGAGTTAGAGCCGGATTTTATTCTAGGCAAATTAATTCTGTAAGAAACTTAGAATTCGAGGTGTTGACGCCCCAAAATCATCAAACGGTGTCGGATTAGCACGAAACTTAGCGCACACGACCGCCTAGGCACGAGAGACTTGAAGACAAGACTCGAATCGGGTTCTCGATTTGGGAGTTAGAGTCGGATTTCATTATAGACAAACTAGTTTTGAGGACCAAAGGGTAGGAAGAAGCAAGGGGAGATAATGGCTGATGTTGTCAACTTTTTGAGGACCAAAGGATTCACTGGACACCTTGGAAGTTGAGGGGATTCATCCACAAGTGGACATACTTCTTGGTAAAGTATATTAACTTTAATATAACAAATTTTATAAAAGAATATATGTTTGAAGAATTAGAAAGTAATGGAAACATGCATAGGACATCCAATTTGTACAGGTGCACGGGATGTATAAATTGTGAATTAGTCTAAAAAATATTTCTTTTTCTCTATACTTAAAGCTTCAAAAAAGGCCGTCGAAAGGCTAAATTATCACACAACCACAGATTTGTACAGGAACTAACAGAAACACCTTAGAAGGGACCAATATAAGTTGTATGAACTTGCGGCACATTAATGGGATGCACCATTTGTGAATTAGTCTTAAAATTAATTTTTTGTTATCATAATCTAAAAAAAAAAAGTCTGTTAGAGGGATAAATTATATAATTGATCTAATTGTAAATTGATGAGTTACTAATGTTTTTAATCTATTGTATAATTAATTAATTACTAAAGCTTTTAATTTATTTTTTTGAAGATTGGATTGGGGTGGCATTTTTGACGTGCAACAATGATGTAATTTGCTTGAATGTTCATTTTGTTTGATAAGGATACAAATACTTTGTGGAGTTGCACTAGTTATTGTTGGATGTTTGGTTGAATTGTACAAGTTATAACTTTTGGATATTTTGTGGATATTGCACTATTTTATTGTATTAGGATGAACTTATTTGTAATGATGAATGGATATTTTCATTTTGTTAATTCGTAAATGTGTTGATAACATATTAGGTTAAGTTGTGAATGAAATTGTTATATTCAACAGGTTTCAACATGAACAGGGTTATATTTGTTGAACTAAAATTCAGATTTTGATAAAATAGGTATATAATGTGGAAAAAAATATTATGGAATTAGTGACAATTTTTCATCCCTAAAGAAGGTTTTTTCATCTCTTATTTAGCTTAGGTGGAAGATTAATTTCGTCATGAATTCTTTATTTCGTCGCTAAATGAATTTGTCATGACGAAAAATATTGTCACATTTTGTCACTATTACCCTCAATGTGTGACGATTTTTTTTTTGGACATTATTTCATCATTTTTGATAATGAATTTGTTTTTGTTTCTATTGATAGTTTCTTTGACAAAAAAATTTCGTTTTCATTTATATTAAACGTGACAAAATTATTTCGTCTTTACTTTCTTTCTTTAATGACAAAATATTTTGTCACTAATTACTTACAAGTATGTTTCCAACAGAGTGTATTGGAGACAAAAAAATTCGACACAAATTTATCATTTTTAATGATGAATTTGTTTGTCTCTATTGGTAGTTTCTTTGACAAAAAATTTTCGTCTTCGTTTATATTAAATGTGACAAAATTATTCCGTCTCTATTTCTTATATTAATGACAAAATACTTTTGTCTCTAATTTCTTCCTTTAATGACAAAATATTTTGTTACTAATTACTTACAAGTATGTTCCCAACAGAGTGTATTGGAGACAAAAAAAATTGTTACAAATTTATCATTTTCAAAGACGAATTTGTTTTTTCATCTCTAAGACCCTTTAGCGACGACGCTTCGGCGACAAAACGGGTGACAAAAAAATTTCGTCGTAATTAGTTTGAGTGACGAAATATATACATTTTGGGACAAATTTGTTTCGTCTTTAAATCCCAAATTTGTTGTAGTGGTTGCTCATACAAGGCTCCAGTATGCAAGTCTGCTACTGGCCTGTTGCTGTAAGATTTTGGGTGCTGTTGGGTTGGAGCTGGCTCAAATTTTGGAGTATGTTGCCACTCAGTTGTTATGCTGTTCTGCTCAGATTTAGGAGTGAGCTTGCACAGATTTTGTTGTTGTTTTGATGCTCAGATTCAGTTGTTCTTTTGTTTTTTTTTTTTCTCCTTCGTTTCTTGTCTTTGTTTTGCGTTGATTGTTGGTTTCTCACCAACTAGGAGGTTGGAGCTTTTTTTAGCTCCGAATTCCTCTTTATTGATGTAATTCGGTTGTTTTTCATTAATAAAGTTTCCTTTGCCGATCAAAAAAAAGTGTGGCGGTGATGGTGTGGTGACATTGATAAAATTTTAGTTCAGAAAACATTTTTAACCTTATGAAAGTGAAAAATATATTTTTTTCTGAATAAACTTATTTTTCATTAATCATTAAAAATAATATTTGGGTAAACTACCAATAGGTCTTAATAGTTTGACTTAATTCCTATCAAGTCTTATTAAAAATAAGTCTTGGTAAAATTGTCGCTAAAAATAATTTTTTTGTGACAATTTTTTATGTCACTAAAAATTGACAATTAGTAACTTTTTTTGTCATGATTTTTATAAATTGTCACTAAAACTTACAATTAGTGACGTTTTTTTATGATAAATTTTTTTTCATAAGACCTATTAGACAATAAGTCCACTTATTAGGACCTATACGTAAATATCCCAAAATATTTTTCATTAACTTTCGTTTTTTATTATATCAAATATCAAAAAATAAAAAAATATTTTTTTTAAAAAATATTTTCTACCCAAACTGTTAGGGTGACGTAAACCACTCCAAGCTTAGAACTCAGCAAAAATAATGCTACACCCCAAAAAGAGCCACAGAACAGAGTCAACACAGCCATCCTTTCCTCGTCAAAAAAAATTTGTAAAGTTGGACTCGTGACAAAATAAATTTAATATTTTTAATTTTATCAATTTAAATTTAAATTTATTTATTTATCTTTAATTTAAATTAAAAAATATTTTAACCATGAAATTCAATATAGGAGTATATAAAATATTTAAAATATTCTTTTTCTTTGAGTTTAATAAGTAAAATATTATTTTTCTGCTAATTTTACTCATTGAAAATAGACAAATAATTTAAGTTGAAAACAAATTAAAAAATTAAGATTTTAATTAGTAAAATTAAAAACTCAAATTTTATTTTTATACAAGCTTAAACCTTGAGTTTTTTTTTTTTTCTTGTAATTTTCCCAAGTAATTTATGGTGCTAACAATTCACAAGCTATGTTTGGCAGGTGGTTTTGGGACTATTTTAGCCATAAAATGACAAAATAAGCTAAAAAATTAGTAAAACAAAATGCCACGTCTAAATCATAATCATTTTTTTTTCTCACAAAAGTCAAAAAAATCAAAAAAATCATCCAAATGAGACTTTTTAGCCCCAAGCTAAAATAACTGAAAAGTTAAAAAGTCAAAAAGTCAACCCACATCCCAAACAAAGGCATATATAGCTAGATCAACTAGGACATTTAATCTAATGATTGTGCAACACTCTTTGTTGCGTGAGATCTCGAGTCCAACATTTATATAGAGGAGTTTGATAATGTTTGTGGTGGTATTTATTTCTTCCCCCATTCTGGACGTTGTATGTAAACAGTAATGAAGTGGTTGTTGGGCTTGCATGTAGTAAGTTTAGTAATTGATTGTTAGCTGGATTGGCTTTGTTAACTATCTAGCTATTATGGATTAGTAATATATTTGATAATGTAATATTTCTTATATAATTGCTCTCCTATCGATCAACAAAATATATCTATATATATAAGAATCTCTTTCATTTTGGTGGCTTGTACTTTTTTTCCTATTTTGCCCTAAACTTTTAGTTCGATTTTCTATTTTCTATTTTGTCCTTTATTAGTTGGTGGATTGACCTTGAATGAAGGGTTTTTAGAAATTATGTAAGATTTTTGGGTCAATTATGTAAGGGTTTTGAATTTCGTATTTTGTCCTTAACTTGTTTTTTAATTCGCCATTTTGCCATTTTTTTTGTTTCTATATCAGAGAAAACTATATGGGCATTGTGTTCTGAAATTTGAAATTCATGCAATGAAATTTTCCAGTGGCAGATAAAATTACTGTGTGCTTTGTGTTTTGTTGAGTTTGATGATTGTTTTGTACCAACACAAAGTTTTACAGATTACATGATCATATATACAAGTTAAATTTCTCTGTGAATTTCTGGTAGTTTATACCAGAGAAATTTCTGCAGACAATTTTCTCTGTGAATAACAATAAAAAAAAATGAAATTTAGATTAGTCAAGAAAGGATATATACATATACGTCAAGGATCATCATTCCTTCAATGTATCAACAAGAAAGGATATATACATATATGTGAGACAATTTTCTCTGTGTGGATATGTGCATTGTCTTCCTTTCACTAGTTTCACTATTACATTTGTGGTTCTTCTGAGGGTATTTCAATTGGTTCAGTCCATGCACTACAAGAAAAAGGGGATACAACAACGTTTATTTAGTAGCGTTTTTTAAAACGCTGTAAAATATCAAAAATTTAGCACACGATTTTGTTTTCTACACGCCGGTCATCGGTAAATGGTAGGACAACGTTTTTGAAACGTTGGGCTATGGTTAAAACGGTGTAGTTTAGTTTAGATAAAAGTACTTATTTTTCTTTTAAATTTCTTTTTTGCTTTTAAGAGTCGTAGGAGTCCAAGAGAGAGAGAGATGCGACTTCAGAGAGATACAGAGAGAGAGAGAGAGGGATCAACACTTGTTGGTTCGATTTGGATCGATTCTTCGTCATTTTGATCTTGAAAAGCTGGTTCTATATTTGATTTGACCGTTTATCTTAGTTATTGTTCGAATCTCTGTAATTTAAATCGATCTAGGGCTCGTTCTTCTTCGTGTTTGGGTGCAGCATGGCTCAAGGTAAGGGATTTGTTGAATTCACCGAAGATCTGTGTAGTTTCATGGCTAAAAAGTAACGATCTAGAATGTATTTATGTTGATGTTTGTAAATTCAGTTTCTTCTTCACTCATATATAGTTCACTGTTGTAAGTTTGGCCAGGTTCTGAGCCATATTGATAATGTCGGAAAGTAAAACGTGTCTTAGACATTAGTGTCATGAGACTGTATAATGATGTAATTGATTATCTTGGTTAACCATCTATTGAATGCTATAGCTTTATTCAATGCTTATGTTTGGTTTAGTATTTTTCTACTGGGCTGTGGTTCACCCTTTATGGGAACATCATTTTCAGGTTCAGGTGATAAGCTACCTCCAAGGACTTAGGTTGGAAGGATTTGGCTTTTGGATTTGAAGAAGACTATCTTTAGTTATTTGTTTTTATTTGATAAACATTCAAGCCTAGGGCTTTATTTGTATTTGAGTTAGAACTCATATTTTTGTGTCCAACTGTTGGCTTGGAAAGATGTAAGCCTATAAGGCATTTAATTTGATGTTACATGTAATGTTTTCATATAGTAGTACTCTGATGAATGAGATAATGAATTGCTTTCTTTTAATATTGCATGTCAATGATATATATATTATAGGTTTATTTTGAGGGTGTTACAAAAAGCAAACCAGTCCTTCATTAGCATTTGATTTTATACTTTGTTTTTGGAGATAATCGAAAATCAAGATTTTAAAGCTCCAAGCTGTGGTCTATGCTCTGTTTTACAGGATTTTTTTTTTTTCTCTCTTTTTTTTTTTTTGGGCTTCAATGTTGAATTCGTTTCTTCATTTTGCCAAACACAACACAAGACATTGCTTTTTACTAGTATTTTAAATTTGTTCATTCAACTCTAAGATATGTCTCTCAAGTGTATTGTATGTATATATATATACATATATATATGAAGCTTATTGCTTGTTTTGGTTGTAGAGTTCGCAGAGGGGTCGCCATTAGAGGTAGTTCCATTTTTGCACTATTTTCTTGAGAGTTGCACTAGCATAGGGAAATCAATACTAGGAATTTGTAAGAGATGAGAAGACATGAGATATTTGGAACCTGAGAAAAATTAAGAAATGTTGAGTTTGAGCAAGCCTAGTAGATACTTGAGACCAATTAGAGAGGAATCCATGAATATTTTGCTATTTGCATCATAAACTAATGATGATGATGATGATGTTATTAACTGCTAAGAGAAGAGGGGTTTTCTGGATAAAATTTGCCCCATTTATGTGGTTGCTTTGTTGATGTATTCTGGTTTTCAAAACATTGCTTTGAATGGTAACATCATTACAGCTAGTTTCTTAATTGAAATTTATAAAATTATTATTGCATAACATTAGATGTTATGTTGACTGCAATTTTCTTTGGTAGCCGCACTTGAGCTATAATATGTGCCTTCAAGCTCTATGTATAAGTGAATATAGGCTATAAACTGTTCAATTTTAAAAGGACATCCACTCGCACCCCAAGTGTGCTAAATGTTTAATCATAAATCTATTAATGTTTACTAAAATTTTTAGTTGCATTTGTCACAAACTTCATGTGTTTACTAAATTATGTGAGTATTAGGTAGTATTAAGAGTTGTCTTGCCTGGCCAACTCCCAATTGGCTTTGTATGTATTGTGGAATGCATATTGTCCTATTGACTAATTTGTAGTCCTCATGATTGTCGTTGTATTGAACTGTCAGGCATACATGGCACTTAATGATATAGATGCTGCTGTCGAAAGTTTCAAGAAGGCATTGGAATTGGAGCCAAATGATGGTTTGTGAGAGTTTCTAACCTTGAACTTTTTATAAATATTATGCATTGTCAAAACTTTCAGCACATTATGAATTTCACTCTGATGAAATCCTAAATAGCAAAAGAAAAAAAAAATTAACTTGGCAATAATTACTATAGCGATCCCGGTATTCCCTGTTGTTGTATATCTATAATCTGGACTCAGTTCCGTAGATTTGTTGTTGTCTTATCCTCATTTCTATCCCTTACTCTTTGTTTTAGAGTTTTGGGTTGTGTTGGGCAAGTTGGGAATTAGTTGGTTGTGCTTTAAAGCTTTGAAAATTTTGCCCAGGTTTTGGTCTCTCCGCTCGAGCGGCGGTTTTACGCTCGAGCGGGCTTTTGTTGCTGCCTTTCCGCTCGAGCGGCAGTTTGGACGCTCGAGCGTGATTTTCCATCTCCCAGTACTTTACTCTGCAGTTAGTCCGCTCGAGCGGTAGTTTTTACGCTCGAGCATGATCCTTTGATTTTTGTCCATACGCTCGAGCGGGGAGTTTTACGCTCGAGCGGAGAGCAGACTGCAAAACTTCTGGAAGTGTGCAATCAGCGCTCGAGCGGCTCTTTTCACGCTCGAGCGTGAGTCTGTGTCTTACGCTCGAGCGGGGTTTTCTACGCTCTAGCGGAGAGTCGACTACATCAGTCCGTGATTTCACTTTTTGGATCACTTTTTGACCTACTTTTCCTCTCTTAACTTTTAAAAACCGCCCCTTGAGAGTTTCTCTCTCTACTCTTACCTTCTCTCTAAGTTTTGATCTATTCCCGGTGGTAGGGATTCTCCTTGTTCTTTTTCAATACTTCGTCTATAGATAGACATGTGGTAATTTTGTATTGCATAAAAATCATATCCATGTTGGATTTGTTTGAAATCATGGGAAGGAACCTAGGGTTGGGTATTTGAAAATGGTTATGTTATCATTGAGAGTTGTTTTGGGCTAATTGGAATGTAAATTAGCATGTTGTAGTTGATAAAGGAAAAAGGCCTAAATCATATTTTGATTGATAAATTAAAATGGAGAATAATGAACCTAAATTGTAACTCTCTATTGTTGATGTGAGTGGGTGAAGGTGTTAATGCCTAAGGGGTTAACTTTGGCTTTGAAATGGGTTTGAAATGTATGTAGTGTACTAATGTGAGTTATGGCTTCCTTATTGGTAGAAATCGGTTTTTGTAAAATAAAAGGGATGGGTTTGGTTTTGTGACAACTAAAGAGACGGAGTTGGTTTTGTTAAAACAAAGAGGGAAGTGGAACTTGTTTTGTGAAATGGGAAAAGTGTTTTGAAATACGTATGAAAATTGGATTATTGTTTCATGAGTGTTGAACACACACATGTGTGGAATTGTATCTTGAACTACCATGTTAATGTCGTTGTCGGGTTTGTGGTCTCATAGTAATTGAGTCTTTAATAGGTGTACTAAATATTTGCATCTAGAGGTTTTATCCTTGGACGCATCTTTTGGAATAGATGCTTCTACAAGAAGGTGCAAATTATGAATTTAAATATCATTTAGTTAGATGGGTTGTAAGAACCCTGAATGTTTTTTGTATATTGCATTGTCTCTAATACAAAGATTACAACTGATATATATAGCAAATCTAAACCTAATCTGAAATAAGAAATAATAACCCTATACAATCAATCTGATATTCACACAATCAATCTAAAGTATACAATAAACCTAATTGATATATTTCCATAATTAACATATATTCTCACACCCCCGCTCAAACTCAAGGTGGTTAAGCAGAAAACATTAAGAGTTTGCCAAGAAGAAATTGAAAGCGAGCAGTGGTGTGAGTCTTCGTAAAAAAATCAGCAGGTTGCAATGCTGAAGAGACGAAAGGAAGCAAGATGGAGCCAAACTGCAGATGCTGACATACAAAATGACAATCAATCTCAATGTGCTTCTTCCGCTCATGAAAGACAGTGTTATGTGCAATCTGAATAGTACTGCGGTTGTCGCATCAATGGTGTTCTGCCGGCCACCTGACGTCCACTGATGCACAGGTCCATCTTGCTACAACAAAGGACAAACAGAGCAAAAAAAGGGTATTCTCACAGATTGTTTGCATAACCCACCCCTCCTTTTCATGAGCAAATCCAAGGAGTGGTGAACTTAAGCCACAAACTACCAGCTCAAGCAATTTCATTGCATGATGGCTTGTGATTCAAGATGTGCAAGCTCAATAAATGCAAAACAAGACACACAAAACCAACACCCTCTCATGCATGATCAAGGGCAATGGAGACCCAGGAAAGTTGACACATTTCATCACTTTGAGTATGAAATGTCCCAATTTTTCTTGTATTCAATTAACGTCCGATTGAACACAACAAGTTATTATCTTGTTCACTTTTAGTCCCAAATTTTAGTTACTATTATTATTCTAGTATGAGAATGGGTGTTCATGATCATAGCTATCTGTAAGCTGTTATTGTTGAGGATCATGTAGAGATTCCTACTTGACTATATGTTCATCCCACGTTGTTGAATCTTTTTCAGGTGTTTAGCAGGGTGTGCTCGGCTCTTTGGATCTTCTTATTTGTTGGCCACGGGGCCTTAGTTATGTTGGCGGAATGCCATTGTTGTAAAGGGTTACACCCTTCTTCTTGTACTTTTAATGATGTAAGCCCAAGGGCAATTTATTAAGTTAGTTCATGTAATGTTTACTTTGCATACGAATGAGAGTATTGTTAATCATTTCTACGGATTGAATGTATGAGTTTATTTCCGCATGTTATCTCTGAAATTGGATTAAGTTAAAAGAATTTGGTAATGACTCCGAGTAATAAAAAGTGGGACGTGACAATTACCTCCTCTATGGGCTACAAGTTTTATTTTTTACGGGTTTTTTGTATTCTACCAGAACATTAATCTATTTTGGGAGATGGCTGAGGTCTTACTGAAAGTCATTTTGAAATTTGAATGACTGTTTTCAAGTACCAAATTAGATACTTAATAGTTTGGAGTTCATAATTTTCATAGAGTTGAGGTTTGAAACGTGATAACTGACTTGGTTTCTAGCATCTTTCAGCTGGAATAAAAAAGGAGCTGGCTGCTGCAAAGAAGAAGGTTAGTATGATTGCATAAAATCTGAAACATTTTTTATGGCATTAAATGCTTATTAGCTACTGGGGTTTGAATTGTTGGAATTGGAACAGATTTCGGATAGACGAGATCTGGAGAGAAAAGCATATTCTAAGATGTTCCAATAGCAGTTGGTGGTTGCATGGTATGTTGGACCCCTTTTAAGAACTATTTCTCTAATTCTTTTTCCTTGAAAGTGTGGCTTTCTCATTTGGTTCTGGAATACCAGGCTACCATTGTCTCTTAGGAACAATATACAGTTAGTTACTGTGCTGATTCAATGTTGGATTGAGTGAACTTGTTCAGGCTTTTTCATACATTCAGGTAATGTTGCTTTTTCTTTTCAGTCAAGTCCGGGTGACTTTTGTGTATGTCTACCAGTTTGCATCAATTCAAGAAATTTTCACTTAAGTTGTGGAGATTTCTTTGGCTGATCCATCTTATGATGATTTGACCTTAATTTGTTTCGGGTTATAAAATAGGGTTAGCTACACTAAGACTCCCTCAACTGAACGAATATCGGTTTACTCCCCCCATCTATGAACCGGTACAGTCTAACCCCTCAACTATAAAACCGTGTAAATTCCTCTCTTGGAAGAAAAAAATTCACTACAATGGTGATAGCATGCCATCACCGACTTTATAAATTACCATGTAAGTATGATTAGTCCTGCTATGCAGTAGTTACAAAATTATGTTGGAATGGGTTACTACATTTGAATAGTGGGGTTCACCATCCCATATGTAGTTTTATTATTGGTTGGTGATACTACATGTCAATGTTGACATAGTATAAAGGAGGCAAACATATGGTCTTCTTTAATAGTTGAGGAGGTATCGGTGTGATTAACCCTATAATTTTTTGGTAATGACAATTTTTTTTGGGGATCCATTTTATTGGTTTTCTGGAAGAAGATAAATAATTGTTTTGTGGTGTTAGGGAGTTTTCTTTGCATTTGTTATGCTTTTTCTGATGGATTTTCTTTTCTTTAATTTGACTCCCAGGTTTTCATTTGAGGGTGAAGCACATGAGCATATATCCAAAACCGGCAAAACAACTATACAAATTTCAGGCCAGAGCTAAATTTTAACAAGTAGATTAATCTATTTTTATTTATTTATTTCTGAGTTGTTGTAGCTACCTGATCCAATGTCCATATTTCTCAAGGAACAACTACGTGTCTGGAGAGCATTAAATGGAGATATTTGCTTGACTAACCTTTTTTTTTTCTTTTTTTTTTCACTATTGGTTTTCGGTGTATTGTCTTAAAATTATATGGGTCCATGATAATAACATGTGCTGTATTGGCTTTTACACTCAAGGGTTACTTTCTCTTGAGTATTCATGATAATAACATGATAATAATATTTTATTTGCTACTAATTTCATTTTTTTTTTTGTTACATTTATTCTTTTCTTAGTATTTTAAATTTTGAGATGATGATGGAGTATATGAATTTGGTTGTGATTTTTGTAATTTCAATTTTGATGTGTTTGGTTGAATATATGTATTTTTTGAAACAGGGTTTGGAGAATTCTAACTAGTAGCAAATAAAATATTATTATCATGTTATTATCATGAATACTCAAGAGAAAGTAACCCTTGAGTGTAAAAGCCAATACAGCACATGTTATTATCATGGACCCATATAATTTTAAGACAATACACCGAAAACCAACAGTGATAAAAAAAAAAAAAAAGGTTAGTCAAGCAAATATCTCCATTTAATGCTCTCCAGACACGTAGTTGTTCCTTGAGAAATATGGACATTGGATCAGGTAGCTACAACAACTCA